AAATACGATTAGAATTTTAAGATTTTTTTCCGCCAGCTCTCAAAAAGAATCGCCAGTACCACAAAACATTATCGCCAAAATCAAATTTTAATCGCTGCCGTTTGTACGCGAATAGTGTAAAAATATGGTAAATCAAGGTTGTGGACCCTGTATAGGTCACAATTTTAATTCGATTTTGATAAAACTTGAAATGCATGTTTATAACCTAAAGATCATGGTTCCTTTCGATATTAATAGCGCATATCGGATGGTAACTTCCTGAATTATGGCCCCTGATTGTACGCAAAATTGCCTTTTTATACGCCCACATTGAAATGTGGTCGTATATTGTTGTCGCGTCCGTCCGTCCGGCGTCCACAAGCACTATAGGCTAAAGTTAACATCCGATCGACTTTAAATTCATACACAGTGTTTAGGGTCATGAGATGAAGAGGCCTATTGATTTTCAGCAATTTTCGATAATTACTGTTGGAGTTATGGCCCTTGATCACTTCAAAAAATCTTGTGGACGCTCTAGAGGTCAAAGTTAATATCCGATTAACTTTAAATTTTTACACAGTGTTTAAGGTCATGAGACAAAGAAGTCTATTGATTTTCAACGATTTTCAATAATTACTGTCAGAGTTATGGCCCTTGATCACTTCAAAAAATCTTGTGGACGCTCTAGAGGTCAAAGTTAATATCCGATTGACTTTAAATTGATTCACAGTCTTTAAGGTCATGAGACGAAGAAGCCTATTGATTTTCAGCGATTTCTGATAATTTTTGCCAGAGTTATGGCCCTTGATCACTTTGAAAATTCTTGTGGACACTCTAGAGGCTAAAGTTAATATCTGATTGACTTTAAATTTATACTCAGTGTTGAAGACCATGAGACGAAGAAGCCTAGTGATTTTCAACGATTTCCGATAATTTTTGCAAAAGTTAGGGCCCTTGATCACTTTGAAAAATCTTGTGGACACTCTAGAGGCTAAAGTTAATATCTGATTGGCTTTAAATTGATACAGTGTTTAAGGTCATGAGACGAAGAAGCCTATTGATTTTCAGCGATTTCTGATAATTTTTGCCAGAGTTATGGCCCTTGATCACTTTGAAAATTTTTGTGGACGCTCTAGAGTCTAAAGTTAATATGCGATTGACTTTAAATTTATAGACAGTGTTGAAGACCAAGAGACGAGGAAGCCTAGTGACTTTCAGTGATTTCCGATAATTTTTGCCAGAGTTATGGCCCTTCATCACTTGGAAAAATCTTGTGGACGCTCTAGAGGCTAAAGTTAATATCCGATCGACTTTAAATTTATACACAGTGTTTAAGATCTTGAGACGAACAAGTATATTGATTTTCAAGAATCTTTATGACTTGAACAGCTAAATCCATGATGTTAAAAGTTTTGTATACTAAACGTTAGCATGGGGCAGAACTTTATAAAAACCAAACAAATTCTAATGGTTTTCTGATAATTACTTAATGAGTTGTTACTCTTAATCAGATTTTAATGTATTATAAATGTTTCATTACCGAAAAAAGTAAAAATATGTGACAACTCTTGTTGACTGCTCGGACGATATAGGTGCTGTGGGCGTATGTTTCGTTGCCTGGCAACCTATCTTTTAGCTTGTGGTCCCTCTCGAGGACACAATTATTATCCGATTTAAAAAAACATTTGATTATATCGCTGGTTATCACCAATTGCGACTTTGGCGACTGATAGCGTGAGCCCTGATACTAGATAATAATTAAGAAATAGAACAATAATTAACTTAGATACTTATGAAATTAAAATATTACAACAGAATAATCTATAAATCTTACTACGAGCAGTAAAACTGGCTTCCATTTTATTTGACGTGATGTAAGGTTACTAGTTCAAAAAGTAAACATGGATCATAACGGTTCATAACATAAGATTTGGAACTATACTGATGTCCAAAAGAAAGTATACACACTAAAAGTATGACTAAGTTTTGTTTAGATTAAAAACATAAGATTTGGAACTATACTGATGTCCAAAAGAAAGTATACACACTAAAAGTATGACTAAGTTTTGTTTAGATTAAAAACATTTGATAAAGCATTACTGAGTTTGTCTCTTGCGTCCAAACTCAACATTTCTAAGCAAAATAAAATGTGAAACAAATTGACATTCTACCCAAATCCTGTATACCATGGAAAAACGACTTTGGTTGATGCAGCACAAAATACACAGTGTATACTTTCTTTTGGACATTAGTATATTTCAGGATAAGCGACAGTGATCAAAGTAAGACCAAACATAAACGCTTCATACCAGCACAGTATGCAATGATAAACCACTATTGACATTCATAATAACACAACTTTATGGATTTACTACTTCTTGAGTTCGGGTCTCTCAATGCTATTTTTGAGAAATCATGTCTGCGCATGTGCAGATAGACATTAACATACAACAATCCACCCGATAAAACTTTTGATTGGTATAAGAACTAAGCCAATTGCTTAATGATCAAAATCATAGAATTTGATGTTTTCAATGTGTGCTAATACTACAAGATCACAAACTAGAATAATACCCAATTAGGTTATTGAATTTTTTATTTAAATTGATTCACGATAATAAAACTAAAGATGTCAATAGTGTCCTTAAATGACATTTAGAAGTAGAGGTATAATATTCATAATAACACAACTTTATGGATTTGTAGAGGTATAATATTCATAATAACACAACTTTATGGATTTACTACTTCTTGGTTTATGTGCATGGCTATTTAGATGCACCGTATGCCAAGCAAGATAATGATTTGTTCACAGCTCGGGTAATATTTTAAAGGTTTTTACCAAGTTGGTTTTAACAGATATCAGCAACTCCAGTATCGGCAAAATGGCCGTATATCGGTTGATAACGATTTCTCCCGATATGCCACTTGTCGGCCAATTACCGATGTTGAAACCGATTATCGAACCGTCACTAGTTTCAGTAATGCAGATTGAGCGCGTTTTGCCGGTCTCCAGTGTAGAGTGTGAGAGGGGGTTTTCAAGGCAAAACTTAATTAAAACCAAATTAAGAAACTGTCTCACCACTGCTGCACATGATGAACTTATAAGGATCTCCTTAAAAGGACCGGCTCTCGAGGACTTCGACCACAGTGCAATTTTAAAACTATGGAAGAAGAGTAAAAATTGTCTTTTATATATTGAGGACTCTATCAGTAGTAAGATTTGAAAGTGAACTGTACAGTCTTCTATTGTTGTTGTTATTGTTGTATTTTATTATAAATGATCATATCGAACGTACCAAATATAAAAGAAAAGAAAGTACTTAAGATTGTTGTTTTTTATTATGTACATAATTTGAATATTTTGTTGACACATGATTTTTATACGCCCACATTGAAATGTGGTTGTATATTGTTGTCGCCCCCGTCCGTCCGCCCATCTGCCGCATTGTGGACGCTCTAGAGGCTAAAGTTAATATCCGATTGACTTTAAATTTATACACAGTGTTTAAGGTCATGAGATGAATAATCCTATTGATTTTCAGCGATATCCTATAATTACTGCCAGAGTTATGTCCCTTGATCACTTCAAAAAATCTTGTGGACGCTCTAGAGGGTAAAGCTAATATCCGATTGACTTTAAATTTATACACAGTGTTTGAGGTCATGAGACAAAGAAAATCTTGTGACGCTCTAGAGGCTAAAGTTATCATCCGTTTGACTTCAGATGGATAATTACTTCATGAGTTGTTACTCTTAATCAGATTTTAGTGTATTATAAATGTTTCATGGGCGATATTATATATCCCAGAAAACACCGAAAAACAACCGGAAAACTACCACAAAACACCATGTTATACTGAATACCGGAAAACACCGGAAAAACACTAAATACCGGAAACACACACTAAATACTGGAAAACATCCTAAATACGTAACTTGGAGCCTGGTCCTCTGGAAATCACCGGAAAAACCTAACCCAAACCCACTGCTGGTCCTCTGGAAAACACCGGAAAAACCAGGCTCTTTGTTACCTATTTAGGGTGTATTTACGGTATTTAGTGTGTTTTCCGGTATTTAGTGGTTTTTCTATGTTTTCCGGTATTCAGTATAACATGGTGTTTTCGGGTGTTTTCTGGTAGTTTTCCAGTTGTTTTCCGGTTGTTTTCCAGTGTTTTCCAGTATATAGTATTGCCGATGTTTCATTACAAAAAAAAAAATTAAGAATATGCGACAACACTTGTTGACTGCCCGGACGATTTAGCTGCTGCAGGCGTATGTTTCGTTGCCTGGCAACCTACCTTTAATTGTTATTGTTGTATTTTATTATAAATGATCATATCGAACGTACCAAAAATAAAAGAAAAAAGAAAGTACTTTAGATTGTTGTTTTTTATTACGTACATAATTTGAATATTTTGTTGACACATGATTTTTAATTGTGGTCTGAATCACGTGATATTTAATTGTGGTCTGAATCTATTTGTCTAAATAACACAAAGAGTATACCCCTTTATTTTCGGTAAAATGTCCTATGGGAAACATTTTGAAATCCACACACAGATTATATCAATACCATGACTAAATTCGATGATGATAATTTTTTTGCTTAGGCTAAGTAGCAATAAGCAATTTGATTGGTCAAAACTTTTGAACATAACAATCTGCTTTTAATTGAGGTAGAATGTTTAAACTTGATGTAGATGTTCGTTAGGTGAATGTCTTGACTGAGTTCAATGATTAACAGCAATTTCATTGGTTGATGCTTTGGGACAAGAAATCTTTGATTCTGACTAATGCAAACTGATGAAACTTAGTGTATAATTTCACTAACAGGTACTTCAAACCCGTGACTGAGTTTTAACTTGAACATTTTGTGATTATACTAAGTATAGACAATCAGTTTGATTACTCTATACTTTTGAAAAAGATAAATGTGGAATTAATTAATATGTCATCTATTTTTTTTTTTGATTTCGGCAGGGGACATCAGCCTCACTGTTGGCTTGTTTATCTTTCAGATTCTATCTTATAATGGTAAACTTGATATTGTTCATTATTTTGAGTCCAGCTATCATAATTCGAGTTACAGTAAAGATGTCCCACCTATAGCTATTATTATTGGGAATGGAATTAAGATTCACTATGTAGATAATTTGACATTAGAATCTGCCAACCCTCAGGGATTTTCTGTACAGCTGCATGAGGTGAGTTGAAAGCATATACTTACATCACGACATAGGAAGATGTAAAATATTGTGGGAGCTTTTATATAGGCTTTTCCCTATTTATCTCATGCAATTAACCCATTTATAGTGCATTGAATGTTTTTTTAATTCTTTTTTGGAACTTACACACACATGCCACATTTTCACATGACAAGTTAGAAAAACTAAAAATGAGAATCTGTTTTGTTTTTTTTATTTACAACATTACAGTTCCTCAGTATTTTTCAGCATGGTTTCCTCGTGTAAGTGGTGCAGGACGGAGGGCTAGGCAAGGAACAGAATATTCCTTATAGCACACTGCATGACGTATGTCCATTTTCAATAGCCTGTTTGGTGCAGAAATGTAGGACGGAAAACCCCATTTCATATCATTTCATGTCATTTAATTTAATTTACATGGATTTTTTGTGTGAAGCATTAGGACTGAGAGGATAAAGTTCATCCTATGAAACCTATTGTTTTACAGCAGGAAGGATAAACCCTATTAATTTTCAAATTTGGTTGAATCACTGGGATCAGAGAGGATGAACCATGGTTTCCACTTCATACTTCATGTTTTTAAATGTGGGTGTATTATGCCGTCGCCCCTGTCCGTCCGTCCATCTGTCCGTAATTTGTTTGTGGACAGTATACAGGTCACAATTTTTATCCCATTTTGACGAAACTTAAAATATAGGTCTATGTCCCAAAGATCTCGGTTCCTTTTGATATTGGCATGTATCGGAAAATAATGTTTTTAGCTTGTGGACACTCTAAGAGGTCACAATTGTATGAAAAATCACTTTTTATACGCCCACATTTTCATGTGGACGTATATTGTCATCGCCCCTGTCCGTCCGTCCATCCATCCATCCACAATTGTTTGTGGACACTCTACGGGTCACAATTTTTATCTGATTTCAACAAAACTTGAAATACAGGTTTATCTACCTAAGATCTCGGTTCCTTTCGATATTGGCATGTATCGGACCGTAACTTCATGGATTATGTCCCCTGATTGTTCGAAAAATCGCGTTTTTAGCTTGTGGACAGTTGTCGCTCTTTTTAAGATCACCCAATATAGGCCTAACAACAAAATATATATATTACTCATACTAATTAGTATTACCAGTACAAGTGTTGAAAAACAATAATAGTTTAATTTGTGGAAAATAAATTATTTGTTGCAATAATAATTTCGCGATTCCATAAACCTTCCCTTTATCACTGACTGATACTATTATCGGACCAAAACTGACAGACAAAATGGCCGCCCCAATCAATATTCGCGCATATCGGACCGTAACTTCCTGAATTATGGCTCCTGATATTGGTAAAAAAATCTTCCAGATTCTCTAGAGGTCACAATTTTTTTTCAGATTTTAAAAAAAAAAGTTTAAATATTTCACCAATCCACCATCATGAAGGTTGAATTCGAATTTCGGGAAAATTGAAATGAAACTGCCTGACAAATTGGCCGCTCTTTTTATACAAATTGTGTAAAGGTATGCAATACGAAGGTTGTGGACCCTCAAGAGGTCACAATTTTATCCGATTCTGATGAAACTTAAAACATATCTTTACATGTATATCCCAAAGATCTCAGCCCCTTTTGATATATGCGCATTTTAGACCATAACTTCCTAGATTATTGCCCCTGATTGTACAAAAAATCATTTTTGTTTTTAGCTTGTTCTATATCCATCTCTTGCAAAATGTGGGCGTATCCTGCCTGGCAGCCGCTGGCTTGCAAGATCTACCCAAATTATATAATTTATATAGGCCTAATAATAAGGGAAGTATTCTGTCAGTTTTTCACAATAATGAGAAAGGTATTACTATTAGACTCTATCTATGTGGTGATAAACATGATATGTTACAATATGTAGTGTTGGGTAGGTAATAGTATTAGTATTGAACAAATCATCCTGGGCCAGGCAGGCCTATATGGCATGGATGGAGACATTCTCTCAGCCTCACCCGCTAGCCCAAGTTCAAGAGAAGGGTGTTTAGGAAATCTGACTGATGCACATCATAGTGACAAGGCGGTATCAGTCATCCATAATAGGCCTACTCCAAATTTATAATATCACCAATGAGCATGACCTATTTCATATCTACACGACCATGCATATTGACGCACGTACGGTAGGCTACATTATTAGTAGGCTATTAAGAATGAGTTCGCGAGAGAATCATGCAAAATTGATAAAAAACGGCACAAGCGGTGTGGGGCGATTTTGACCAAACTTTGCAGATTTGGTCATTGGGTACCCTGTATACCCCACATGAAATATGAGGGTCACCAACCTTGTAGTTACGGAGAACCAGCTATGGCCATTTTAGAGTTAAAAAAAAATGTCATTTTTTTAAAAAAAAATCCCTAAATTCAAATGTTTCCCATAAATTCAAATGTTTCCCATAAATTGTCTATTGATTTTTTAATTTTTTTAAATTATTTTTTATGAATGATCATGTCTACTACTTCAATATATATGACTATTAAATTTTTCCGAAACCATTTGAGGCTATGAGGTATTTATTTTGAGACGTAGTTTTTGCTATTATCTCACCCACTGCGGGGCTGAGGACAATTCTATTAATAATGGAAGTTGAGGATTACTAATACTAATATTTGGTTTTGACAAAATGACTGGCACAGATTTCTTTCATATTAAATTTGATGGTCGAACTTGAAGAAAATGACTTCATTTTTGACATAATTTTTCCAATAAAATCATTCATTTCCTGGATTATTAGGCCTGATAATGCCCCATGCAACCGCCTTCCAGCAACCCTGTGTAGGGCCGGTACAGATGATTCGGGAGTTCCACAAGGATCAGTCCTTGGACCTGTCCTTTCTGTAATGTATACTAAGAATTTGGGACAACTAATCGAAAATTATGGTTTCTAGGACAACATTCTTATGTAGATGATACACAGCTGATCGCAAGTTATTCCCTTTCAAAAACTGTTTCATTCCCTAATTATTCTGACATCAAATTGTGTACACATGACATTAAAGATAGGATGACAAGAAACATGTTGAAATTAAATTTAATTGAATTAAGTAAATCAGAATGTATTTTATGTGGTCAAAATACACATCTGAAAAATACAAGTTCAAATGATGTGGTTGTACGAGATGCAATATTTGTACCATGAGACACTGTGAAGAGGTTAGGTGTACTCTTGGTGTCCAATTTGAGCATGGACAGTCACATTAGTGAAATTTGTCGAAACTGTTATCTTTGGTCCAGGAACATTGGCCATATAAACTCTTTATTAGCCATGAAGCAGCTGCTACACTTATATGTTCTTTGGTATTCCCAAGGATTGACGACTGTAACAGCTTGTTAGTAGAAACATCTAGTGCTCATTTTAAAAAAAAAAACAACTAGTGGAAAATACTGCAGCTCGAATTCTTACCAGATCACCAAAACACTCTCATATTACTCCTGTTCTGAAATCAATCTACTGGCTGCCAATCATCTTCAAAAGTCTGTCTTTGACGTATCAGTATGTGAATGGCTTAGCTCAAATATACTTATCTAACTTTATGCACAAACAAGTTCCCTCGAGTAACCTCCGGCCGAACACACATTCATCAGTTTTGTTGCTCAAGGTGGAAATTAATATCATTTAGATACGGATCGTGCTCAGTGAATGCGCCTAAACTGTGCAACAATCTTCCAGAGATCATTAATTCATCTCAATCCCTTTCTTGTTTTACATCAACACTTATCAAGATTAATTAAATTAATTTAATTGTATGCGCAGTGGACATGCTTCTGTACATGGAATACGTGCGCTATATAAATGTACATATTAATATTATTAAACTTTCATATTTCATATGAAAGCTTATTGTTTTTGTTAAGATTATTATTATTATTATTATTATTATTTTTTGTGTACTTTCTGCAAATCGGATTTCTCAGAACCTAACCATAGGATCTTTCTGAAACTTTGACCTACCCCCCCCCCCCCAAAAAAAAATCTGGTTAAGTCATCCTTGCTGCATTGGTTGACTCGTCCACGCGACATAGTTTAATTTCAGGATGTAGAATAAGTCGTCCAGTACTACATTGTGTAATGTTAGGGACGCAGAAATATTCATAGTCAGTATAATATGAGTGTTTGATATAAGTATAATTTTCTTTACGCCTAGTGGCAGACTCGCCAATCTAGAGCGGTCGCATTTATAAATAACAAACAACAAAATAAATCACTTTATTCAATAACAATTTCATTAATACATAACGTCACTACACAGCCACTGAACGACTCACCTCTATAGTCCCGGTACACTTTTCTTCCCCAGTTCATATAATTCCCATTTTATAAATATTTTATCATGAATAGTGTCCAACGTCTTCCTTTACGTACGCTTTAGCTTATTTTCCGAACATGCCAATTCTCCGCACCAATTTCACAAAAATTACATCGCCTACAATCGAGCGATCCTCAATGCAAAACTTTAAACTTGTAATATAGTCCCTTTCCTGCAGGTTGGTTTCACCATAACAGAATTGCCCTGTGATATAACAGATCAAAGAATAAACTGCACGTAGTCACTTTTTCTTTCGACACGTGTTATCTTCAGTTGTTCAGACTACCTGGCACCTCAATTAACCCAACGTTAAAAGAAAGCATGCAGTGTCCACCTTACAACAGGTTCCATTCATTTATGATTTATTTTATAATTTATTACGCAGTTTTGACCACAATGTGTTTCGATTCACATTTTGGTATTCTAAATTGATTCTTATACGGAATTCTTATATTTAGTTCCATTTTGTGTGCGGAATTAGTTTTAAAATTAATTATGATGCCGAAATAATATCAATCCAATTGTATTTTGGCGAGAGATTAAGTTGTCAATATGTAATTGTAAAATACCTTTTATTTATTCATCTAATAATTTATATTCAGATTTTATATCAAGTCAATTAAATGTTGTCTAAACATTAAAATCATAATGCCAATTAACAAACAAT